TATATCGTAGATTGTTGGAGACGTTAAACAAGTTAGAAGGAAATGTCCGGAATTCTTTGAACACTATACGAAAATAAAGACATTGATGTATTAGAGTTAGTAAACAATATTACAAGTACATGTATGCTTATTTAAAATTGATGATAATTATTTTTTACGCCTCAATAGACAGAGAAATATTGGAAATGCGTACAAAACATCTCTTTATAATAGGCACGCTGTCACATGTCTCTGTTTTAGGTTCGTAATCGGTGTTGATGTTTATCAGATTATTAGATATCCGTAATTTAATTGCAAAATAAGCTTACTTATTAATTTATCTCCATTACAATATAGATATTATAATAATAATATAATTCATGTCATTGCGAATTTGTTAAAATACAGTGTTGATAATGGGGTTTTATTTGGCTCTATGAAGAATAGGAATGATTGAAAAGGATAAATTTAATGTTCTTGTTGTAAAAGTTATAATGTTCGTATTCATTTTGTAATTTAGCTTAGTTCAGTTTAGTTTAAACCAAATTTTATTCGTGTCAATTAACATGTATAATTACAAAAATATTTTCTTCTGATGATTGAGAAACAAATACAATTGTACTTATACATTGACCTTCCCACCGTTCATAACAAGCTTAACTGATAATACATGTATAACTTTGCAATGATAACATAAAAAAACTGTTTAGAAAGAAAGACAGAACACGATGTAAGGGATTAATAGAGTTTAACCCGGTTGGATGGGTAATTAAGTTGAATATAGTAATTTCATACATGGCCTGGTGTAATTCGTTTTTTTTACACAAATGTTCATCTCATTTATTTTGCTTTTATCTGTACCTAGACATTAGAGCGTAAACAATGGTATCAAAGAAAAGGGATATTGAGTTTATAAGTTTACACTATTATCTATATCAGTTCTCATTTGTTCATAATTTGCCCAAGTGTCATCGATTTTGAGTTCGACTTATTATTAACTCTTCGCTGTTTTATCTTTTACGATATATAGATAGTGAAGAATGGTATGCAATTAAGTATTTAAGTCATTTTTGCAAATAAGGCATTTGCGATGATTTGTATGATCAAAAGCAACAATTACAAAAAGTCATATACACTTTCCTTGATAAAATAAATGGTGTACAAGCAGTGAGTCTGTTTAACGATCGCTAAATATTGAAATGTGCAAATTAACACGAAACTATATACGTCTAGAAATAGAGGTGATTTTCACGAATGCAATGCTCTTAAATTTACAAACGATTTAGAAAAAAATCAGTCTCGAATGCCTCGAATTTTGTATGTGTCAGGGTGCATCGGACATTTATCACAAAAAATTTAATGTTGTGTAAATAAAAAAACACACTATCCCAATAGAAGTTGAGGACAATTAAGCAAATTGTTAAACTGTCATTTTAAATCTCCAATACATGTACTGACAATCCAATAAAGATATGTAATGCAAAATAGTTTCTGCACGTTTTAAACGAGATGCGGTACAGGAAATGTATTATGTGGTCAGTTAGTTATAGACAAAGCCTTTACGACATCGCTGGCTTAGAGTTGGACTGACCGAACAGGGCAAATAGACATTGACATAGACCGGTTCAACAGGACATATGTTATAAATGTACCGATTGAAATGAAAAACTTCAAATAAAGTTTTTCTCCAATAACTCCAAGGATCCCATTGCCTGCTCTGGTTCTGTTTTCCTGTAACATGAAGTATGGGTAGAGGTTCCCGTCCAAGCGCCAGTATCACCCTGAAGCCGACACAAGTTCAAGTTCTTTATTAACTTTAAGTCTTGCGACTTATCAGTGTGAACATATATTAAACAGGATATTTACATATGTACAAAAAGCCACATTGGTCACAGGAGAATGAACAATACACACATACAAGCTGTCATATATCTGATCGGCGCTTATTTGCCGCTATCAGATACTTTCCAAGATTACATAATCCTTTAATATTCGGTGTATTAGGTAATTGAACAAGTTTATATACACTCGGGTTATATCTATAGTAACATTTTAAATACTTCCGTCTTAAATCTGTATATCTTGTGCAAACTAAAACAAAATGAAACTCGTCTTCTATGTCATTAAGATTACACTTTGTACATATTCTATTAGTTCTAACAGTGCCAACATAACGTCCAGATTCAATGTTTAATTTGTGAGCTGACAGCCTAAGTCGAGCAATTTCTTTCATATAACCGATATTAACTGATTTTGTTAGATAAGATTGTAGATTAATTTTCCTGTTTAATTCTCTGTAAAGCATACCTTTAGACATACCTGTAATTAAACTATATCCCTCTTGATTAAAAAATTCACATAATCTTGCCTTAATAATTAAAAAGTGAAATTGTTTCCATTCTGTGCGTCCCAGATATATCCTAAGCCTAAACGATACAATTCATCTTTTATTTCACAGACCCATGGATCCTTGATTAGCAGCATATTTTCATAACAGGATTTCAAAATACAGTTTTCGGTATTGAGCAATTTAAACCAATATTTAAATATTTTTAGTTTCCTTGTTACATGCAATGGATAACGGCCTAATTCGAAATATATCATCATATTCGAAGTGGATTTGCGCACACCTAGCAACCTTTTACAAAAATCTACATGTAGTTTTTCGATGTCGGGGCCTTTATGGAATCCCCATACTTCTGATCCGTAGTTGACTATACTACTGACATAAGTATCAAACACTGCTAATTGAGTCTCAATATTAAAATACTGGTTTTTACATACAGTTGTTCCGAGTATGAATCAGGCACCTTTGAGGTTCCCGAAGGGGTAAACTGTCGTATTATAAATTGCTATTGACTGATTTAGATATTTTATGTCTGACCAACGACTACCGTTAATATTTGCGTATAGTGCGCACTTTTTTAAGGGGAAAATGAAGTGTCAAGAAAGGGGTTTACACGATACTCAAGAACAATCCAAAACCAGTCCTTGGTCGCGACCATTTCTCGTATTTTTTTCGAGGATTTTCGGAAATGTTTTGATATACAAAATATATAACAGCAATACAACTGCTAAATTTCGTTGAATAATTCCTGATTGCATTGCCAATTTAAAAATTACGTAAAGTTGCAAGTTTAAGTCATATAATACTATAGAATCGGATTAATAAACTCGAGTAAAGTAGGCTCAACTTTTCAGGACGTTACGTTGTGAATTGATAAATACCACGTATCGGGAAACATAGCGAAGAATTGCAGCGGATTTATTACTCTGTGGTTAAAATGTCGTTCTTTGGTAAAATCTTGCTGAACTCTTCAATCTTGTCCGGAGGAATGTGTCAAAACGACATGGGTAAAGTGGCGAAGTTAGCAAGTTTGTGTACCGCAACGAGTCGAAGTTGCGTTATAATATTAACCGGCTGGAATTTACAAAGTGGCATCCTTAAGAATTAAACCGATAATGATAAAAGTTTGAAAATTAAATATCAACGGGTTCAAAACAGCCAAATACATTCCGATCTTTTCTTTTCGAAGGAGAATTGCTGTTTTCACAATTGTTTGGTGTTCTTCATGTCTTGCGAATTCGGCTGTTGGCGGTCCTCGTCGGAGTGACTGCCTTTAAGCGTACAGTACACATTCTGCCGATATCGATGACCGATTCAGTCGGATTTGCAGACGATCAGAAAACTACCTGGAAAAGTGTATTTCATAACAAAAAATAGTAGAAGAGTTATCCGCATATAAGATTGAATCTTTTCTGAACCTTATTGTTGTGAAAACAACATCGTTATATTCCAATTACCTGTTCTGCCCATGCCAGGTGACCGTGTCAGCGCCGAGATCTCCCCGTATTCGAGGTGTCGGTCAACGCTAACGTTATATTTGCGGCATGCTTTCCTATTAATTCCCTGTGTTGCCATGGCTACCTGAACAGCATGTATTAACACCTGGTAATTTTTTACTATTTTGATTGACAGGTGAAAATATATCCGTTGTAGCTTGGTCAATGATTTATCGGAAAATGATCATACAGAATGATGGGGTGACTTTTATGTCATTCTGACATATTTCTAGTTTTTACATATTCTGAAAACTTATTTACAACGTTATTGATACCCCCTTCGCTAAGATCCGAGTCATTACATATTCTAATAAGTCAGCAGAATTAACTAGCAGTGTTTCTTTGATCGACTGTTTTTCGTTCTCATTCCATTTAAAGGTAGTTCTATACGGTTTAGGCTCTACGTTAATATGTTCTTGTACGGCGGGAAACAACGAGGGCAATGAGAATGATACCGGAGAGTGGTCAGAAAAATGATTAAAAACTCCAGACTCAAACTGTGCTATGGTCTTTAACATAGTATCAGGGACTAGAACATAATCAATTAGACTGGCTCCAAACGTATAATGACCAATACCATCACCAGCATGTCTACCATTCAAAATTTTTAAGACCAGTTGTTTTGCAAAGAGACAAAAGTTGCCTTCCGAATTGGTTAACATATAAGTCCATATTTGCCCTTTTACAAACATTGGAATCAGGAAGGTATTCGAATAAATTGGATAAAACATGGGTTGAAATTTCACTGACTCGATCAAAGGCAATATAATCCTTAGATAAACCAGTACGGCTGTTGAAGTCATCTATAGCTAAAACGTCACCATACTCTTTATATTTACTTACAGTTTCCTCTAGTAATATAAACAAATCTAAATCATTCCTTTCATAATACGTGCTATTCACGGGCGGGAAATAATTAACAGCTAAGTAGATATCCCTTCTAGACGGATATGACAATTTGACTACACTGATGCTATCTGTTACAGTTTCAACAACTCGACATTTCTCAGCTATACAAGATTTGATATATATTACAATACCCCCTCCACGGCCGTGGAGTCTAGGTATGACATGATCAGTATACCCTGTTATAGATATGTCATCCTCACTACTAATCCAGCACTCGTATAAACATGCAATTTCATATTTACATAAAATGTTCAAAAAATCTCGATCATTCAGTTTATCAACAAGTGATCTGCAAACATTCCATGATAGAACGTTAACAGTAGAGAGTTCACTCTCCTCATCATCCTATACAGACTTAAGGGTAGTTTCACCTGATGACACAGGTGAGAACGTTTTGTCGGTTGGGCATGCACACCAGGAGACCCATTTGACGGACTTTGAGCAACGTCACTATATGTTCTGGTCTGTCGCGGGTTGCTATTCTTCGCTCTGACGTCACTACTTACCAAAGGCCCCGTGTACAACTTGCCGTCCACTATGAGCTTGTCTCTGACAAGCTTGACCTTATGGTGTTTGGCTTTTAGGTCTTTATATGTTGGGTACAGTTGCCTTCGTTTTTGTTCAACTTCTGAAGGGAATTGTTCATTGATATAGAACGAAGTTCCTGCTAGCATACCTGACCGCTTCAACACTAAGGATCTGCCATTGTTGTAGATGAAGCGAGCGACGATTGACCTTCTTTTTCCACGAATGAACTTTCCAAATCGATGAACATTACCAAGCTCAATATGGTGCTGGATGTTCAATTCTACGTGTAGAAACTCTCGGAGAAGTGATTCTGTATTCTCTTTGGGTGACTCCAATAAACCACTGAACACTAGGTTGTTCTTCATAGAGCGCCACCTTAAATCTGTTACACTCCGTTTCAATTCATCTTTATCAGATTTCAACTCATTCACTACTTTTTCGAGACTTTCAAAGTTCCCTTTTATAGGCGTATGCGTGTGGACTGCTCTTTTCAGCCTCTGTAATTCATCCCCTTGCTTTTTTGATGCATTCTTCACCTCATCATACATATCACTTATTACTCTGCAGCTTTGCTCCATATCTTGACCCTTGACCTTTAATATATTAACTTCATTTTCCAAATTCCCTAGTCTGTTATTTATTGACTTCATTAGTTAAAACATTTGGTTTAGTTGGGCATTGGCTCCAGCATCAGTACCAGACTCATCAAACAACACTTCTCTGGTCGCTTGGAGAACCGTTGATGTTTCCACGGAATCCATTCCACTAAGCTAGATTAGTAGCTTACTCACCGCGCTATCGCACTGTAGTACTTCTTTGTTATTGTGTGGCGGGTTAGCAGAGCGTGACGGGATTTCGACAATGACTGTCGTAGTGACCACACATTTCTATACACAGGTTATATATATATATATAAACAACAGCATATAGCGTCAATTGCCAATCGATAAAGAGACAACACTACTAGTGTTCATGGGAACTCATAACAATGAGAAAGATCTTATCTAAGAAGCCTTCAGATTAGTTCAACAGTGGTTGAAGTATACATGTTATAAAGCTGCTTTAAAAATATTTCGGTGTATTTAATCATTGTTAACTTTACAAACTTAACAAAGGTATACTACTTTTAAAACGCCAGTTAGGTACCCAACATGTGTTAATGAAAAACGGTTTCACAGTATTGAACTACTGAGTGTAAGACATGAAGGAGACGATAACCTATCTTAATAGTGTCGTGGCCTGTCCTTTTTTCCCCAGATTGTATCTAAAATCTACTACTTCGATGGGATTCACGTTTTACAAATTCCATTATTTAAGGTTGTACACTATGTATCTTTTGTTTGTCCTTAAATTATCACTTTTTTAATTATTTCAACATTTTAACACGAGGGTATTTGTTTAGGTCAAGAATGAGTGAGAATTTGTCGACTTTTTCACCTGAAAAATATTACCCCAATTGTTGAGATTTCGTTGTCTTCTAAGCACATGTGTAATTGATATTCTGAAAATATTAATCTTGGTTTTTTTCCTACCTTTCAAAATACTGTGCAATCGGTTAATTATGTCGTTTTATTGGTCCATTTCTAATTTCCCTTGTATTTATATTTACTGGCATTGAAATATCGACCGATACTTTATTTAAATTGCAAGAAAACTAATTAAATTCACGTTGTAGTCAATGTATAAACAAATGTTCGTATGATATGAATATTAAGTAATTTACCGTAAATAAGGGATAACTATTCGGTGTTTTGAGATTCGCACAGGTATATTGTGATTATACTGTCGTTACTGGCGGTGTCATCTGAGGTAAGTGAAACGGTACTACATTAAAATTGTTTGCGAGATACTCGTATTCCATACGTAACGTAAACTTACGCAAAAACAAGTATAATGCGATCCATAATAATTAATTTTAATGATTATACTTTCTGATACAATTAACAAAATAGTTTTTGATGATAGGATGTTATTAATAATACCATTTGTCATATTTGCGCAACAGTTTTCCTGTTAAAATGTAACAATAAGATATTGTTTTCATTCCTTATCAAACACTAAATTTACTTTTACAGTAGCTTGGTGATTACGGTAATCAACATAATTTGTTGTATGCTTACCCATTTTGTAGTTTATTTACGTATCTCCGTACCACTGTCAAACCTGTAACTATGCATTGGGAACGGTGTTTTCCACCAGCATGACTATAACTTTGGTAAATCATTTCTCAAAAGAAAACCATACCTTGCGGGATTTTTAGGAAAAGTGATTTAGAACAAACTATTATCAACAACAGTGTTCTGAGTGTAGATTTCAAACTCTGGAGCTCAAATTGTCACACCATATCTTTAACCTACTGAGATACCTGGTCAAGGAAACCGACCCTGTGCTACAGTTATACTTAAAACGACATTGGGGAGAGTCTTTTGCCTGCAGTGGGAAAGGCTGCTTTAATACATCTTCTATTTGCACCGTATTTACTACTGCTAAGTCTTAAATTCGACATAATTCCTGTCTTCTTTTTTAAAAAGATGGTAATAGATACGGTATGCAAAGAACGACTTACAGCTATTTTGTCTTTTTAGAAAAACCTTAGTTGAGCCGTACTATCGATAAATAAAGGACTTAGAGAGGGGAGGAAAAAAAATAAGTCGTCGAAGCTCTCGGATGTACTTGTGAAATATTTGGACAATGCTGAGTATTTGACAGTCTGCATCCACTCTAGGAACTGGATATATATACTGTATTTGACCAGTCGCTTAGAGGTTCAGCTATTTTGAATCTCCTTGCTTTTGCCATTTACATTCGCTTTATACAATGACACAATTTATATATAGCTGGTGTTGTTCTTTTCTTCGCGAATTAAAAGCGCACGAATATATTTGAAAAACCAAGCAAACAAAATCTTTAAAATCTTTGATTGACAGTATGTTCTTGTAATTACAGATATTGTTTTACCTTTAATTTTGCTTACTGTCCTTGTGGGAGTTAATTCTCATGATAGAACAAAGTTGTCATAGTTGTTTTTTGGCATGTCATTTAATAAAAAGATATCACATGTAATCAAATGTGTTGACCAGACATGCATGCTTTTTGTTATAAAATCCCACCAGCCAAAATGTTTAAGGTTTACAAATGCAGCGAACACAAGGCAGGGATTTTTGTATTTTTGTATTTGACGCCAAAGAGCAATGTTACCACTTACCAAATACATTTAACAAGTTATCACTAGCATTGAACCCCCGACTAGACTTACACATTAACTTTAATGAAGAGTTATTTAAGTCATTTATAAATTCTGTTTTATGATTTATAATGTCTTATTATTCATTTAAGTAGATAACTATATATCTTTGGATTCATCTGTCAGAATGAGTAGCATTCCACAGAGAATTTACGAAATAAACTGCGTACGAAACTTAAAATTCCTACACAAAGTCACCTTAACTAGGTTGTATATATAACATGGTATTAGCGAATACTGACGGGGCAAATATATTATTGCACTTTTTAACTTCAATAACTGATAGATCAGATCAAATAGTATTTCATTTACAACGATATCTAAAGTCAAATTATACTTTTACTGGTACAGTCGGCAAAGAAATGGTTCTTCACTTTTATTTTGAGTTGTCCGTGTTTTGTTTTTGTTCTTAATGTAACGTTGTGTTTTTGTGTATACTGCCGTAAATATATTTTCATTGTGCTTTGTCGGTATTATGTATCCATTTTTCTCTTTCTGTGGTCATGTTAACTTTAAATCCATAATATTTAAACTAGTGTTGATGTCGATAGTTTTATGACAATTTCAACCCTAACCATAATATGGAATAATTCCTGAAAATTAAGTAATTGACAATTATCTTTTCACCACTGTTGACCATAATGAACACATCCAGCTCAATACATAATAGAGTCTACTAGAGTTACATAGGGCTACCTATAATTGTCGATGTACTGTTCAAAATAACACAGTGTTGAATACTTATACTTACGATGGGGCACTACATCAATGATGTGTGTTGATAAAAGTTATCTCCCTTTAAACTTTACCAGTACAAAAAACTAGGAATACTCTAAGAGTTTCCTCCCCTCCAGCAGCCTAACTGGTAACTTCACATTAAAAATTAAGAATTTATCAAAAAAATGAATGGCGTCCAAATAACGTTCATCTACCCTTATCTGTGGTTGCTCTGCCAATCCACAAGAAGCTGTATAAAGTGTCTCAGATCTGGTAATTCAGCACAAATCATTTTAGAAATGGGGTCCCACTTTAAACGCTAATCCTTAAAACAGTCACAGTTACTTGTGCTTGGCCATAAGGGGGAAAAAAGAAGATAAATGACCCGGCCCGAACCTGATTGGTAATATCAATATTGATAAAATATAAAAAAAAAAATATTTATCAGAGTTAGGTTCAGGTACCAGGTATCAGGCTCCTGACCGGCCCTTAGTTTTTTTGTTTGTTTGTTTTGTTTTTGTTCTTGTATTTTGCTATTTTATTTTTTATTTTCTAACGATTAAACTCAAGTCCCTGTGTTATAGCATACCGCCATCAAAGATCACGACGGGTGCTATATGTGGTGCTATAAACTATTACTATTCTGGAGGACGTAGTATTACCTTCAATTGTTATATAGGTGCATGGTATCTCCTTTTCCTTCGATGTCCTGAAATTGGTTTCCATTGTTGATTGTTCGCCATGTCCTTTTTATCATTTCTTTGTTTACTAGTGCAGTTTTTATTTCACTAATTCACGTCACTGCATATATTCTGTGTAATTTCTATATCGCTTCCCTCCTATCGCACACCTCATATGTTACATATCATCTATAAACATCAATGTAACGAATGGAATATTATAAATCGATTTTTACCCTCCTGAAGGTCGTACTATGAATGGTAAATGAAGAAACTAAGTTGCATATTTTTAAAAATAGTTTTATTACCGCAGTTACAATATTTAAACATGTCCATTTGTAACACTTTGAATACGAATCATAGCTATACAATGTGTTACAGTGTGTTTATTTGACGTTGTCTTACCTTATTCATGGTCTACGTACGGATGTATATTCATATATTCTGATACTAATAAGATATTTCAGTCTAAATTATCAATGAGTTTTTCACTTTTACCTTGCTCTGATAATTTTGAATGCATCATAACATTTTTTTGGCAAGAGCAAGTGAAAAAGGCCAGTACCACTTAACGCAGTGATCAGATATCGTACCACTTCGGGCTGGGGTTGAAAACATTTACGATATACCTCATTAAATTTTAACATCTAAATTTCATCTGTTAAATGTCAAAACAGGCATCTCGTTTTCCTGTGAATGCACGCGTCTATACACTTATACGTCATGTGAATGAGAAGTAAAGTGTCTAAGTTATTTTAAATTCAGAGTCTAACATCATTTTAAACAAGCATGTCAGAAGCTAATATAATGATAATTTCTGTGTGTATATTTTTTTCTGTAAATGTAATATAAATTTGGGGCAGCGAGAATACTAACAATCAAAACCTTGACTCTCCCAATCTGGTTT